GAGTCAGAATATGGGAAGATTTCTGATTCTGAGGGAGATGTTTATTGTGGGTTGGTTCTGCCTTTGAAAATGGCCTTGCATGCCCCCATTGATGGCCATAGTATACTTTAAGTATTTTTAGCAAGGTGTTGGAACCATGGTTTCACAAACTGTTATATACCAGTTGGTTTGGTTCCTGGCAACAATAACTGTTAGCATTATCTCATAGTTAATATTATTTGGTTCTTAATATGATACATCAAGTTTGTTTATTTATACTAACACCAAAGTTAGGCTGTCCCAAATAATAGATTATATGATTACAATGTGTATTACTCAGGATTCTCCAGAGAAAGAGAACCATATGAGATATATATGTATTTTTTTTCTTAAGTGTAAGGTAAGTATACACACACCCACACACATACACACACACAGAAGGAGGGAGGGAGGGAGAGAGAGAGAGATTTATTTTAAGCAATTGCCTCACATGAATGTGGGGGGCTGACGCATCTGAAAAACTGTAAGGCAGGTTGGTAGGATGGCAATTCCAGCAGGATGGGATTTTACAGTCTTGGGTCTGAAGGCAGTCTGGAAGCAGAATTTCTTCTTCCTTGGGGAACCTTTTTTTCTCTTAAGGCCTTGAACTGATTGGATAAAACACACCCAGATTATGTAGGATAATCTGCTTTATCAAAGTCTACTTATTTTTTATTGAAATATAGTTGCCATGTAACATTATCTTAGTTTCAGATGTGCTACATAGTGATTTGCAAATATTATGAAATGATCATCACTATGTCTTGTAACCTTCTGTCCCTGTACAAATTATTATGTTACTGACCATATTCCTTATGTTGTGTATTATATCCCCGTGGCTTATTTATTTTATAGCTGGAGGTTTGTATCTCTTCAGCCCCTTCACCTATTTCGCTCCCACCTGCCCCCCGCTCTGGCAACCATCTGTTTGTTCTGTTTCTGTGAGTCTGTTTTTATTTTATTTTGTTTGTTTGTTTTGTTTTTTAGATTCTACATATAAGTGAGATCATACTTATAAGTGAGATCATTTGTCTTTCTCTGACTTATTTCACTTAATATAATACTCTCTAGATCCATCCATGTTGTCACAAATGGCAAGATTTTTTTATGGCTGACTAATATTCCATTGTGTGTATATATCACATCTTCTTTATCCATTCATCTCTCAATGGACAATTAGTTTGCTTCCATATCTTGGCTATTGTAAATAACATTGCAGTGAACATTGGTGTGCATATCTCTTTTCGAATTCGTATTTTATTTTCTTCCGATAATTACCCAGAAGTGAAATTGCTAGATCATATGGCAGTTCTATTTTTATTTATTTATTTATTTATTGGCTGTGCTACGTGGCTTGTGGGATCTTAGTTCCCAGATCAGGGACTGTACCTGAGCCCTCAGCAGTGAAAGCATGGAGTCCTAATCATTGCACCGCTAGGGAATTCCCGGCAGTTCTATTTTTAATTTTTTGATGAGCCTCCATACCGTTTTTCACAGTGGCTGCACCAATTTACAATCCCAACAGTGCACAAGGATTTCCTTTTCTTTACATCCTCACCAACACTTGTTATTTGTTATCTTTTCGATAATAACCATTCACTGACAGGGATGAGGTGATATATCATTGTGGTTTTGATTTACATTTCTGTAATAGCGATGCTGAGCATCTTTTCATATGCCTGTTGTCCATCTGTTTGTCTAATTTGGGAAAACGTCTATTCAGGTCCTGTGCCCATTCTTCAGTCTGGTTGTTTGTTTATTTGATGTTGAGTGTATGTGTTATTTGTATATTTTGGAAAATAACGCCTTATCGGATATATAATTTGCAAGTATCTCCTTCCATTCAGTAGGCTGCCTTTTCTTTTTTGTTGATAGCTTTTTTTGCTCTGCAAAAGCTTTTTAGATGATGAGTCCCATTTGTTTATTTTTGCTTTTGTTTTTCTTGCCTGAGGAAACACATCCAAAAAAATTGCTAAGACCAATGTCAAAAACCATACTGCCTGTTTTTTTTCTAGGAGTTTTATGATTTCAGGTCTTACATTTAAGTCTTTAACTCATTTTTAGTCTACTTTTGTATATGATGTGAGACTGTCCAGTTTGATTCTTTTGCATGTAGCTGTCCAGTTTCCCTAATACCATTTATTGAAAAGGCTGTCTTTTCCCCATTGTATATTCTTGCCTCCTTTGTCATAGATTAATTGCCCATATAATTATTCATATAATGAACCCATATAAGTGTGGGTTCATTTCTGGGCTCTCTATTCTGTTCCACTGATCTATGTGTCTTTTTTTGTGTGCCAGTACAGTAATGTTTTCATGACTGTACCTTTTGTAGTATAGTTTGAAATGAGGGAGCATGATCCCTCCAGCTCTATCCCTGCATGTAGCTCTCTGCAGAGCCCCAAGGTGGTACCAGCCCACTGTTGGGTGGGGCTGGGTCCCTGTTGCTCTAGGCTAGAGGGAGGATTCCAAAATGGGGCTTGCCAGTGCCAGTGTTGTTGTGGAACAAGCTCCTGAAACTGGTTGCTGCCAGCATCTCTATCTGCAGGGGGAGTCCCAGTTGCCTCCTGCCTCTCCGGGAAGCTCTCCAAGGTCAGCAAATGGGTCTGACCTAGGCTTCTTTTAAACTACTGCCTCTGTGCTGGGACTTGGAAAGTGTGAGATTTTGCAAGCACTCTTTAGGAGCAGAACCTCCATGTCCTGTCACTCTATGGCTCCCCTAAACATAAGCCCTGCTGGTTTTCAAAACCAGACGTTCTGGGGTCTTGTCTTCCCAGTGTAGGATCCCTGGGATGAGGAGCCTGATGTGGAGCTCAGACCACTCGCTCCTTGGGGAGGACCTCTACGATTGTGATATTCCTCCTGTTTGTAGGTTGCTGACCCGGAGGTATGGGTCTTGACTTTACCACGTCTCCGCCCTTCCTATCCATCTCGTTGTGGTTCCTTCTTTATGTCTATCGTTGTGGAAAATCTTTTCTGCTATCTTCAGTTTGTTCTCATAGATAGTTGCTGTGTAAGTAGTTGTAATTTTGGTGTGTCTTTGGAGGAGGTGAGCTCTGGGTCTTCCTACTCCACCATTTTGGCCATCTCTAAAACCAACTGATTTAAATGTTAATCGCATCTAAAAAATACATTCACAACAACATCTAGACTGGTGTTTGGTCAAACAACTGGCACCGTTGCCTAACCAAGTTGCCACATAAAATTAACCATCACATCATGAATTCCCAGTCCTTGAGGGATCTTGAGATTCTTGTGTTGTTTTGCTTGTCATGGAGGAATATAGGCCTATCTTGATATAGAGGTAAAACTAATAAGAACATGGCCTCCTCTATCCCTGTTAGGAGTTTTCCCAAAGCATATAAGTTTCTCTTTAACTATCATGGTTATTGATGGTGGAAAGCATTGCCTTTTTACAGTGCTTCTTGGATTTTAATATGCATACTAACTATTGAAATGAAGATTCAGATTCAGAGAATCTAGAGAGGACTTGGGATTATGCATTTCTAGGGCACTCAGGTGCCAGAGGTACTGCCATTCTGTGTACCACATTACAAGTAATGAGGTCCTATTGCTCAAATAACCTATTGGAAGAACAAGACTGGTAGAAGATTGACTGAGTTTAATGACCTTTCTCAGGAGGCCAGTCAGTCTGTGGGGACCTCAGTCTATGGGGACCTCTAAATTTTAGGATCTTCTCTTTATAGTGCCTTTTCCCAAGAAGACCGAGGGAGCAACACCTCCTTTTTCTATGGAATTAAAGTGACAGAGAAGTGCCCAAACATCAGAAAACACTCTAGACTGAAGATAGTGGATTCTTATTCACAGATTGCTTCATTTGAAGCTTGAATGGGCTGTGAAACCAGGAAGTAAACCTCTCCCACCAGACTTGCCAATTTTGGTCTCTATCCGCAGTGCCACATGCCTTGATCTTACTGGAGACTCTGCTACTTGCTAGCCATGTGACCTTGAAGGCAGGGAAAGGAAACTAGCATCTTTTGAGCACCTGCAGATGCCAGGTACCTTGCTGGGCAGTTTCACATTTTATCTTCATGGCAACACTGTTGGGGAATACTTGGCATTATTTCATATGAGGACATGAAGGCTTAGATAATGCAGTTAATAAAGATTCAAAGCTGAGAATTAGAACGAGGTTTGTCTTGGACCAAAGCCTACTGTGGTCCAGGACTCAGTTTCCCCATTTGTTAATGGGGCAGAGTAGGGGTTCCTGCCTTTCTCCTAACACTGTTGTGAAGGACGGTTGGGATGGTGGTCTCAGTGCATTTGTATGCAATTCAGTGAGTTACAGAAGTGTATTATGTGCCAAATTTCAAGAGTTCTTCTTCCGGGAGGGATGTTCAGCTTCTTACCAGTGATTGAAAGATGAGCTGTTCAAATTATTTTTTTATTTTGTTTTTATTTTGTTTGTTTTCCATCTGGGACTGACATACAGAGATACGCAGAAGTTCAAAAAGGCCATGACTCAGCTACCTTGGGGAGAATAAATGCTTCCAGATTCCATTGTTTCCAGCAGGGGCAACTCATAAAACCCCTTATGCTCATGCTTTCTGATCCTCAATTTCCAGATTAAGGAGAAGCATTAATATTGCACATATTGAACATAAAAGTCTGCAAAGTAAAACAGTAAAGTCAGTCTGTAGTAATAAAATAAAATGAATCACTGAGATCCAAACAGGGCTTTATTTGAACTCAAATAGCTGAATGCAGTAAACAGATCAGCTGGAGTGACTGATGGTAACTGACGTTGTTTCCCCTGCTGGGGAGGAGGGGCTGGGATCTTCACCTGCACGTCAGGGTGGAGGAATGTTGCACTCCCACCTATGCCATAAAGGCTCGAGTGGACCCTGGTCCATTCCCAACAGCCCCTGGTCAGGAAAGGATGAGATAGTCAAAGGGTATGGCCTCCAGCACTATTTATCCTAGATCTTTCTCAGGTAACTGGCTTTTCTGTCTCCATCCAGCTTGCCAATGGTCAGGGCCCCGTCCTGATGACCACGGTCGCCATGCCTGTGTTTAGTAAGCAGAACGAAACTGTGAGTACAGTGACTGGATTTCCTACTTGTTGCTAGGACGGTTGTTATCTCAGACCCCCTCTGACTCAAGCTTTGGTGCCCTTTATTTACTCATTTAATTTAAGGATGGAGGGTGTATAATTTTTCCTCACTTTTAATCCTGCTGGTAGCATCATGAAATCAAGAGTAGATGAGAGATGAGACTTCCCTGGTGGTCCAGTGGTTAGGGCTTTGTGCTCCCAATGCAGGGGCCCCAGGTTTGATCCCTGATCAGGGAACTAGATCCTGCATGCCGCAACTAAGAGCCGGCACAGCAAAAAAAAAAAAAAAAAAAAAAAAAAAAAAAGATGAGAGGAATTCAAGCAGGCATCATTTTACAGTTTGTAGCACTTTTCCAAAATTTAAGTGTTTAAATGACCAGAGGAAGGCAACCCCCAGAAAGAATCCTTGATTGTAGTGGGTTAACCTCTCTCTGATTTACAGGTACCAGCCTTGAATTAGATTCCCAGGGCTGTGGCAACAAAGTGCCCCAAACAGGATGGCTTACAACAATAGAAATGTATTCTCACAATTCCAGAGGCTAAAAGTGCAAAATCAAGGAGTCAGTTCTAGGGAAGACTCCTTCCGTTCCTCTTCCAGTGGCCCCAGGAGTTCCTTGGTTTGTGGCAGCATAATTCCAATCTCTGTCTCTGTCTTCACATGGCCTTCTTCTCTCCTTATCTCTCTGTCCTCTCTTCTTCCTCTAATGACACAAATCATTGGATATAAGCCCCATCCTACATCCAGGATGATTTTGCCTTGAGATCCTTAATTAATTACATCTACAAAGACCCTATTTCCAAATAAGATCGCAGCCTGAGGTTCTGGGGACACTTGAATTGGGGGGAAACAACAGACAACAGCGATGAGTATTTTCTTCTAGAAGCCCCTTTCTGACATTAGAAAGTTTAGTACACCACATTGACCTTGGGACCTGGGACCCTGGAGGCCTATTCCTTCCCCTTAGTCCTTGATTCCAGCTTGCTGCTAAAAAATGTGTTAGGGTTATTGCATCTTTCTCTGGCTATTTAGTCTCTCTCTCTCTCGTGGGCACCAGATGGCAGTGTAAATTGAGAAAGTAGTTAACATGTAAAGTGTTTCCTATAAAAAGTTTCCATAAGAGAAACTGATTAATGATCATAAGTCCTTAGCTTCTTGATTTTCAGGAGAGAGAAGAAAATGGTTTTTAGGGTGTCTTGGTATGGGCGTGTGTTGAGGGATATATAGTAGGTAATGTTTGACCTGAGAAGCTACCATTCTTGCCTAGGAATATTTTGGGCAGCGGATGGGGAATAGAAGAGGTTCCCTCATAGAGATCCAGGTTAATCTTCAATCTCTCTCAGTTTGAAGAAGGCACCAGACAGTGATCTATGGTGTGTGGCTTTTCAGGAGGTTCTATTTCTTCTACCAAATTAACATACTATTGTTGGTATTGTTTAATGTTTCTTTTCAACAGAGATCGAAAGGCATTCTTCTGGGTGTGGTCGGCACAGATGTCCCAGTGAAAGAACTTCTGAAGACCATCCCCAAATACAAGGTAATGCATCACATAATTAATAGTCAAGGGCCAAATGCACAAGATAATTTCACAACCTGCCGTAGTGACAAGGAAAACATGAAGGAAGGAGGCCCTTCTACTCTCTTCTAGAGGGCTCTGTTTTGTTTTGTTTTGTTAGAATAATAATAGTCCATGCAGGTCTGATTAGGTCTACATGTGCCTATCCAGGTTTGTGTGAGTCTGTGGAAATCTACACAAGTCTGTGCAGTTCTCCACAGGTCTTACACCTCTGATGGTTTTCTAAGCCAATCTTGATTCACCCCAATCTGAGGACCCTCTAAAATCTGTTACTTCTTAACAGGAACCCAATGAGGCACAAAGAAAAGTGGTCTCTGACTCTCGACTACGTATTCCCTTTATCCTGGAAGGTGATGGGGTACAAATTAATATTCCTTTCCTAAAGCTGCATTAAACCTATGGCACTAAGGGAATTGTAAGTTTGTTTTAAATTCTGGGGATAGTTGAGAGGGTGGAGTAGGTAATTTTGGAACAAAGAGATTAGGGCAGGCCTTGGTAGGCCACTGCCTTGGGAGTTTAGAACAACATGGAAAAGAAACACTAGATGGAAAGGGCTCAGAAAAGGGTGTGGCGGGGGGTGGATATGCTAGAACCAGCTCTGCGTGTGAGGCCAGCCCTACCTCGAGAGAGAGGGTCATGCTTTCCCCCTTACCTGGCTATATTCCCAGCACTCTGTTCCCAGAACTACTCTTTGGTTTATTTAGTTCTTCCACATTTGGGGACAGAGGGGCTCTAATGGGTCATCCCAGTGCCACCCGCAGCCCAACCTCTTTCCATGAGAACAAGCATCCCAAGCTCCATGTGATTTCCCAGAGGTCCACAGACTGGATCTGCCCTCTCTGGGGCAGGCAGGCACACACAGTGACAGACTGCACTGCCACCTAGGCTGGGTGCAGGAGTTGGCAAGTTGCTATGAAGGGGACACGGTGGCAGTAACCATTTTGTGGCCCATAGGGATGATATTACTTGGTATTTATGTTCTTTGGCTGCTGTGGTTAAATAAGCACTTTAACAAAATCAGAGCAACGGACAGGCCAGGAGCCTGGTTTCCATCCAAGTCAGGTTCAGGCTCTACTACCTTTAGAGCAGTGTTGTTCCAGCTTCAACCTTTTGCTTCCCACCATCGTAACACATTGTCTTTTCTTTGTACCACCTGCAGAATTACTGAACAGATCTTTTTAAATTTCATTTGACTGGCACTTTTTCTTAATTATCTCTTCTAACCTCAGCCTGAACAGCCACATGTGAAGTCGTAAATTGAGATATGGTCATTATATTTTTCTGATACGTAGGTTAGCCAGGGGAGTAACATGCAGGTTTTCCTTTTAAGAAGATGGCCCAGAGAGTCCTTGAACCCCATGCAGAAAACTCTCACCTGTTCCCTAGTGGGGGCTCCCCAGAAAAGCAAATCAAGGGGTGAGAAGAGGAAGGTCCCCTTAAGCCCTATCCCAGTGCTATGGAACTGCCCAAGAGCCGTCTCTGTGTATGCATGCATGGGAGTGCAGGGGGGCAGGAAGCAGCCCCTGCTCCTTGTCCTGGGAGGAGTTCATGGACTGACATGGTTCCCCTGGCTGCACAAGGGTTGAGACCATACCGTCCCCTCTTCCCCCAGCATGAAGCAGACCAGCTCGCCCATCTCCATCTCTGGCCCACTCACAGACTGACGAGGGTTCTTTCCGTTCCCATCTGGAGGGAGGCAAGCTCCTTTGGGCTGGGAATCTGAGATTCTTGGCTAACTGGCAGGGCCCCCTCCCTTACCACCTCATTCCCTGATGTGCTGAGCCTGCCTCACCACCATTGTGAGAGGCCCTTCTTCCTGGGCCTTGGCAGGAAGAGGCAATGGTTAGTGCTCTGGAAGAAGATACATTTGGAGTTCAGCTCCATCACTGAGGAGCTGGGTATGGACAACTCTCTCAAATCCTTAGTTCCTCTCTGTCCAATGATGATAACAATAGAACCTGCTTGTAGATTTGTGTGAAGAATTGACCACTGTCATCAGTCAGGAGCAATGGTAACACACTGGTCAAGAGGACAAATTTGACCCCCAGCCCCTGGTACCTGCAGCCCTCTTCCACAGGGAGTACTGCTTGCAGAGAGCTATTGACACCTTTCCTACCAGATTCTGACACCTGTGGCTTCACATCCACTGATCCTTTGCTAACCCAGAATGCCCAACAGAACGATGGGTTAACTGAACAATGGACTAGGCAACCACATGCTGGGATTCTCAGCCACCTTTGAAAATGGGGTTTTCAAAGAATTTTGAAAGACACGGGGAAAGGCTTACGATACAAGGTCATGTGTGTTAGGCAAGATTCTTAAGTTTGACGACAAGGATAGGTCCACCTTTTTGACAGAAGGCCAGGATAAGAGCAAGAGAACAGATCACCAGGCATCACAGCAAGCCCTTATCCAAGCAAGTCAGCTAAATGGATGACTGCAGCCAAAATGAACAGGTCACCCCTCAGAGGGTTGGATGCAAAGTGACAGGTGCAGAAAACACCTGTTTTAAAAAGCACCATTTTGTGGTACAAAATGGGATGTCTCAAGGTATATTATTAGCAGATAACATTTGCCCAGTACTCCGTGCTGTGCAACGAACATTACCCCCATCATGTTGAGAAACCTTCCTCAGGTAAGTGCAGTGCTGTTGTATCCATTCTACTCATAAGGAAACTCAGGTTTGCAGGGCTTATGTTCACAGAGCTCAAGGCTACATAAGTAGGAAGTGGTGAGAGTGATTTGAGCCTAGATCCACATTCTTAGAGCAGATCTAAGCCATTCACATACTACTTCATATACTCTCTGTACCATTATTTACTTAATACTTCACTTGTAAATCAGCCTGAAACTTTCTTCACTTAACTAAATTTTGATAGGAAACACATCATTTCTAAAAAGAAAAGCCAATGTCAATTTGCATTATAGAAGATAATTGTAAAAAAAATTATAAAAACAAAATAATAGTATTAAATAATTGATTCCAAGGTTCTGAACTTGAATTCTGTTCTCTTTTTTTCTTTTAAGTTAGTATTAAAGGCAAATGTTAAAGATATACTAATGGAAAGTTTATTTTTGATATAATTGGAAGGATGGAAGAAATTTTTAAAAGGGCTGCCTCTTACTAGAGGTTCTGGCTATAAAATTTAACATGCCACCTGAAATCATCTCGCTCTACACTGTTTTTCCTAAGAAAGCAAAATAGGCCATGGGAAGATGATGGAGGAGTGAGGAGTGAGGACCATAGGGGATTGTTCAGACTTGGGGTATGTATCCCTGCCTCCTAGGGCTCCCCTTAGCCCTGGACATCAGTGCCATCACCACCCTCCATAAGCCCATGCTGCACCCTCACCTGTTGGCCCAACCTTCTCAGAGAACCCAAAAGGTTAAGTTCTTCCCAGCGCTTCCTAGCTGGTCCTTAGCACATGCTCCACTCCTAGAAGAGGAAACTTCTTTAAACAAGGAAGGCATGTCTCTTCCCATATGCCAATTCCATTTAGGTGATCAAATTAGAAAGCCACCTTCATGATAAGAGGAAATGAACTCTAATCTAAAATCAGGTGTCCAGGCTCACAAAAGGTGGCCTCCTTAACAAAAGAACTTTCCTGATTGGGTTTACTGAGATGACAAAAGTCTTTCTTCCTACTGTCACTCTGGAGCCCTGACAACCAGGTTCATTCAACAGCAAGGCTTTTACAGTTGAAGTTAAGCTTCCAGAGCATGATAGGACATGTGGTTGATCCAAACTCACATAAGCACATGTTGGAAACTGTATAGCTCCCCGGAGATGGAAACTCAGGGTATTTGAGGCCCCTAAAGATAGTGGACTTTACTTTTATTGAAATCCCCAGACTTAGGCACCCAGAATTGCTGGCTTACTGTTTAAGGAAGGGCATCCCACCTTCCTTAACACTCTTAATCCTCTTGCACCATATAAGAAGATGTAGAAGCCCATATATAGGGCCACTGTTTAATATATGCCCAGTAAATCAAGAAAGTGTGAACATACAGGAACTGATAACAATTACCCTATGAGTCTGTTTCTCAGAGCTTCCTCTACTAGGCAATGTACTAAGCTCTTTATAGCATTATCTCACTTAATAATAGGTAGACACTGCTATTACCCTTGGCTAAAGAAACAGAGGCTCAGAAAGTTTAAATATCTCACCAAGTCTCACAACTAGCAATCCAGACTTTTAGCCTTTATTACCCTAGAGACATTAGGAACAATAAAGGACAATAATAGTAATAGTTTAAATAATAGTTAAAATATTAAAAATAATATTAATGGCTAAAATAATACAATAAAACATTCATTGAACTTTTTACTGTGTGTTTGGTATGGTAAAAGTGCTTTATATCCACTATTCCCACTGAATCCTTATTACACTCCCATGAAGTGGGTACCACTTGACCCCATTTTTAGATGAGGATACGTGAAATAACTTTCTCAGTATAACTCAGCTAATAAAAGATAAATGAAACGAAGTATAATAAGGGGATAGAGGAAGATCAGCTACAGAAAATTAACCAGCAGTGTCTGAAATACAGGCACTTCTGTTTTAGGCTTTTCCTAAGGTCTGGGAACGAGAGACCCACGTATGACATACCTTAATCTAAGTTATCCTTCCTCTGGTTCCCACAAGAGCCTTGGGGAAAAGGTGTGCATGGCAGGCAGAGTGAGCCATCTAGGAGAGGAGAGCTCCAGGGAGCAGAGTGCAAATTATACCTTTTTCTCTTGATTAACACCTTGTAAAGATGAGTCTGCTCTCGGGGTTTTCCCAGAAGATAGAATTCTTTTTTTTCCCTTAGCTTCATAGATTTTCCCACAAGCAATCAGACTTCCTGTACTTTTTATTAAGAATTCCAAACACCCCAGCAATAATTTCCGGACACCACAGCCTCTGTTAATGTAATAAGCCATTTTATAATTGGGTTCACTTCATTAGCCCAAAGTCTCTGCACTTGGAAGGGAAGCACCTCCTTCCCCGGGCTGTTGGAGCTCGAGGCTCCTGGCCTCCAGAAGAGTATGATTCAGGATGAGGGCCCCTTTGGCAGCCCCAAGTGCTGGAAGGCCTTGTGTCCCATCTGTTCTTTTATTACTCCACGGGACTGCACATTAGAATGGACAGGAAGACTGGTTCTATTTCAGATGAAACAAAAATTAGAGATTTCATCTGTATATTGATTTGGGGCCCAAAACAAATGTTGGACATTGCCATACACAAGTTTAAGGTTTCTGAGAGACTGATCCACAGAATGTGTTTTGAGATTTGCTCAGTTTCTGTTCTTACATCTACATTAGGTTATATCCATATGCCATCAACCAACCAACAAAACATTCTGATGTTATTTTCCCAGACTGTTCTCCTGGGAAGGATGTTAACCAGATAGTTTCTGAATGTCAGAAGACTTTCTCAGGTACAGGCTTGAGGAAGACTGACTATGTACCTCCGATAGCAAATCAGCTTCTACTTTTCAGCTCATGTTCAATATTTACTTTAGCTCAAACTTTAAAGATGAACTAGGTAATATTTGGGTAAAGTAGTGAATGTCTTAAATACATGCAAACCTTAACTGGAGCACCTGTCATGTGTTAGACATTATGCTAGAGACTGGAGAAGTCAGAAACGAGTGAGATGATTCATTCCCCACAAAGAGCCCATTCTTATGGGGGAGGCACTGCCTTATCTAGAACAAGGCAGAGGAAAGAAAGACAACCAGCTAGAGTTGAGAAGCAGGCAGAAAAGTAAGTGTAGCATTTTCATGTATTAGGGTGAAGGTAATAGTGGAAAAAATTCTCAGGGTTTTATGGAGACATGGTATGGAAAGGACGGTGCAACAGGAGAGACCTTTTATAGGGGAAGATCCTGAGGCTGAGCTCATAGCATGGGTGAGAATTAGCTCAGGGGAGATGGGAAGGAGCAGTGCTCTGGGCAGCTCCCACTGTGTGAGTAAAAGTCTAAGTGGGAGAAAACAACTGCAGGGGTGGTGTTGTCCCTGTCGTGTGCCCTTGAGAGGCCATGAGTGAAAGAAGGCAGTGCTGGGTAACTAGGTAGGGGCCAGATCCCAGGGAGACTTGATGGCTGGGCCCATGGATTTTATCTTATACATGAAAGAGGTCTTTAGTGGGTTTTACAAAGGGGAGCAACAGAGTCAGAGTTACCTTTGACTTTGATTAATCTGAAGGATGACTTTGTTGGGGCCAAGCTTTGAGGCAGGAAGTGCAGGTAGGACCATTATGGCAATCTGTTATATTAAATCTACATGAATGGTAGGGTGGGGAAGCAGAGTTGAATCTGAGTGATTTCTGGAGGAAAAATTAGTAATTACTTAGGTCAAGAAGTCGGGGATGAAAGAGAAAAAGGAGTTTGCAGCTGAGGAGTCTGGGTGGTTGGTGGTGCCGCCGATTGAGAGAGAAGAGCAGGAAGAGCAGCGCTAAGGGAAAGAGCCATCCTGCTGCACTGGGTGAGCCTGGGGCGCCTGTGGGATGTCCAGGCAGAGACGGCCGACACACACGTGGGTACTGGGATCTGCCACTGAGGGGACAGGCCAAGGCTGGAGCACAGATCTGGAGATCAACAGCATCCAGGTGGTTAATGAATTGTGTTGGGGTAGAGAGAGCTAAAGCAGACAAGGGACGCTGGGGACAGAAACTTAGGGAAAATTAGTGCTTCCAGGTGGGTGGAGGATGAGTGTCCTATGAAAGGGAGGAAACCCGGGAGTGTGGGTCCTGGCAGCTGAGGGACTAGAGAGTGTCAAGGAGGAGGGGGCAGTCGGCTAACACAACCAGGAAGAGAGAGAGCTTTCTATAGGGTTTGGCAGTTAGGAGGCCACTGGCAACTGTAAAGAAAGGAGTTCTGGTGGCATCTTGGTAGGCAAGGGGTCACAGCAGAGGCAGACTCTAGTAGGGTCGGGCATGAGTGAGCAACAAGGAAGTAGAGATGGCAGTTGAACAGTGAGTAGAGGACATCGTGTGGGAAGGTCAGCTCAGTCTCTGCATCCCAGGGAGGAAGCAGAGAGTTTAGGATAGCTTTGTAGTATCTGCACTCAATTCAGTTTCTTTTGTTTCCCTCCTTCCTCCTTTTCTGCTTTCTCCTTCCTCTACCCCTCTTCCCTCCATGCCAGCTACCCTTCCATAAGCACATGGTATGACCTTGGCTGTCACAGAACTTATATTCTGGCAGGCAGACAGGCATTAAATAATTAAAGGCCTTGACTGATGCCTTGATTACTTATAGTCAAACTCACAAATAATTGATTATTATCATTTTGACACAAGAAAAGTAGAGGGCATTAGGGGGGGTATATGCATGGAGTTTTACCTTCTTTTGAGTATTACTTCCTACAAGCAGACCAAGAAGTGAAGGAATGTAAATTAGAAGGCACTGAATGTATTATTTGACTATAAAATATTATTTGTTTGGTCTCATTGTGAATTTCCAACCAAATACCACTTTTGCCTTTAATGGAAAGAGTCAAACTCTGAGTCTTTTTTGACCCCTGCAGTCCATATTAAACTGGGACATAAATAAAGGTAATTAACACAGTGTTGACTGTGTCTGACATTTTTTCCAAGAGACAAGATGAAAGAGACAATATACATCTCAGAGGATAGCTGGTTTATCTTTCACAGCATAATGAAATACACTTTTATCATTAGAATCAAGTAGAATCTTATTAAGACTTGCTTTGCAAGGTAACTCCAGAAGAAAATGCCTGTTGCCCTTGACTACCATGTGCATATTTACTTTATGTAATGCAAGGAAAACTTTTAATTTCTGGTGTTAAATTCCCTGAAGTTAATTTCACATCACCTTGACGTTAAGCTAACAAGCAGACAGGGTCATTCTTGGTTTGTAAACTCTGTTGTCTGGATCATTTAATAGTATCATATTCAACAATGTGAGCAGCAGAGAATTTCCAAGAAAAGTAACAGTGAGGGCTCAGAACTATGAAATAACTCGTTGGAAAAAAACAGAGGATTTCTTTTTCTTCTCCCCTTTCACTGCTCTGGCAAAAGTGGGTTACATTTTCTTTCTTCAGAGAGAGAGATCAGTATGGGTTTTATGCCAGAGGCCATTTTAATACATGAATGATTCGTAGGTAAATTTATTGTAGCCAATGGGTGCAGTCAACTGTGTAATAGAAATATTGTCAAAAAGCTGGGATTATTATTTAAATAAGTGCAGTGTTAAATTTGATTACATACTTTTTAAAGCTAGTAAAACATTTCATTGCTCTCAAACTATTTCCCATAGTCCCATTTAGTCAGAAAACATAAATTAAGTGAGGCTCTGCATAGAAAATTACCCAGGCTTTGTGTCGATGGAAGCATGCATGGAAAAGCTTGGCAGCCTCACAATTTAAAGACGAAAGGATATAAAAGGGTTGGCAGGCTCCTATATAGGCTGGTGGGGACACTTTTATCCTTGAGGAATTATGGAAAATGACTGCCTAGGAGAGTGCATGCTTGCGATGGCCCCTAGGGGGTGTGAAATTGTAGGGGTGTGAAATTGTAGGGAGCCTAGGTGTGCCTCAGAGGGAGGCCCCTCTTGCCTTATCTCAGGTAGAGAGAAGACACCGAGGTTGACAAAACTCTGTTCACTTGGACATAGGGTCTCCAGAAACATTAGCCACTTGCCTTTTAGAAAATATAATTGTTTTTGTTTTAAATAAATCAAAGTAAGGGCTTTGGATGCCAGCGTGGGTCTGTGACATTTTAAATTGTGCTATTTGCTGAGCTTATCCTGTGACAGGTCTTCATTTCCACCAAATGTCAAGGATCAGTGCCTTGCATTCATTTTAATGAAATATTGTGCTGATAAGGGCTATGAATGCCAGGTTTAAGCTGCACATTACTAAATGTCGGGCTGCTTTCTGCTTTGTGAATTCACCAGGGAGCAAGCTAATGAAGGCTTCTTTCTCGCTTCTTCTTACAGTTAGGGATTCACGGCTATGCCTTTGCAATCACAAATAATGGATATATCCTGACGCATCCAGAACTCAGACCACTGGTAAGAGACATACTTATTTCTGTGTTTCTCCCTTTATGATTTTAAAAGACTTTCTTCAGTTCTACAGTAATTACACTTTGCAGTTTTCACTTGAAACGCTCAATTCATAATACCGTCTCTAAAAGGTTGTTTTAATAGTTTATAACTAGCATTTTGACATAAAATATGTAAATAATGTAGGATAAATATATTTACTATCATGGTTTTATATATAAATCCATATATATCTATATGTACTTATGTATTTATTTCACATCTGCCAATATATGGAAAAATTTTAAACTCTGGACAGCTTGAAACCCATCATAATAGATACCTTTATATAACAAATGGTCTCTAACACTTCAGTCTGAGACCAACTTATTGAAAGTTACATTTGATACAACAGATTAAATCCAAGATCCCTGGAAATTCATTCTGATGGGATTTGCCCCCAAAATACATTACCCAAGCCCAGTGCCTGCTGCCTTGAAGGTATTTGTGTTTAATTGAAACAGTTGAGATTTTCTCCTTGTCCTGCCTAAGCTGTATCCAGTAGCATTGTTTGGTGAGCTGACATGTAAACCATTTTCCTTCAGCATCGTTTTCACTCTCTCTGAAGTGAGTGGGGTTAGGTCAAATCCAGGACAGCCAGAATATCACGGTCCATTCTGATCCCTGGGGAGAGGCTGCCTGGAGCACTGTGTTGAGGAGCATTCTGAAGGGCAGCCAGGCTTGTCAGATAGGAGGCCCTGGTCCACTGTGCACTCTGGAGGGGCACAGGCAGTGAGTGTACCACATGTTTGCCATCCCTGGACTAGTTGTAATGTGTTGAAAAAAGGACATCCTTTTCGGTCTGCGGTTAGCTAATTTTAAGGAAGATATAAAAGTGTAAAGAGTAATATAGTAAACTCTGCTTTTGAATGTTAAGAAAGTGTAGTTCAGGGCTTCCCTGGTGGCGCAGTGGTTGGGAGTCCGCCTGCCGATGCAGGGGACACGGGTTCGTGCCCCGGTCCGGGAAGATCCCACATGCTGCGGAGTGGCTGTGCCCGTGAGCCATGGCCGCTGAGCCTGTGCGTCCGGAGCCTGTGCTCTGCAACGGGAGAGGCCACAACAGTGAGAGGCCCGCGTACCGCAAAAAAAACAAAACAAAACAAAGAAAGTGTAGTTCATTCCTATAGCTATATACACACACACACACACACGCACGCACGCACGCACGCACGCACATCCACCCCACATGTCTTTTTCCCTTTCATCAAAATTAGAAAATAGCAATGCCTGCTATGCAAATGTTTATTGGTGAAACATCGTGGGGACCAATTTGCTTCTCGCTTGAATCATTGTTTAGAAAAAGTCCATGTTTTAGCTCCATCATCATCCAAGTTTGCTCTAATTGCCCTGGTATTAATGGAGTCATGGCCACATCATGTGGATCCCATATGCATGCTTCAGGATGGGACTTAAGGTAATACTTGACTTCAACAATCTTTTTATCAAAAAAGGGTTGAGTTAACTGGTTAGCTAATTCCAAACATAACTTAGAATCATTGAAAAGTCCGATTGAAAAAGCTACTAACTTTTTAAGGATATTTAAGTCTAAAAACATATTTAAGTTTAAAAAGCTTAGCACATTACCCATTTCTAAGCCTTCCAGTTGGAGTTGCCTGTTGGTGGGTGGTAGGAGTTATATATTTGGTGTGGCTGAGTATGGGCTCCTAGTGCTTATTTATTCCAAGCTGGAGTGGATCAGAGTAAATGAAACAATCAAACCTGGATCTTCTGCTAGTGAATGAATAACTTTCTATGTATCAGCTTTTAAAGAAGGAACAAAATGGAACCAGATGTCAGAAGTCACCAAGGTACCTTTCCTTTCTCTATAGCAATGGAAATGAGCAGCTCCCATCTGCACAGTCAACTCACGAAGTCTTTCTGGTCTTTTATATCTCCTGGTCATGCAGCAAATGGTCTGTTTGCAAATAATCCATCTCATGTACTTTCCAGAGCTGTGGCCACTGAGAGGGCAGCCAAAAGGCTCTTATAAAAACAGGCCAACCAGTCAAGACTTATCATCTCCTGACAGTGCAAATACTCACAAATACAAGTCATTTCTGTTCTTCTCACTGTTGAAACATTGCACTGAATGATTTCACTGGAAATGGTAGCTAGGGTCAAATTCCCATAAATGGGGTGACCCAAGCAAATGCTGCACATCTCACTTGTGAGAACCCAAGCCCAAACCAGATGAAGCATTTTGCTACTGATCCATGATAAGAACATAAGGAGTGGCCAGGTCAGTGAGCCATCTATCCCATTTATCAGTCTGTGACCCTGAGGCCCTGACATATTTAGAAGAGGTTTGGCGTGATGCCCACCATTGAGGATTACGTGAACTAACCCACATGAATGTGATCAGTAGTGAGTGTTGACCCTGCCTTGAGTTTTGCATTTTCCTACTGGGAAAAAGACAGTGGTGAAGTGGAAGGAATTCCACTTCAGCAGTACACAAGTTGTCCTTGATTCCTGGTTCTGCCATATCCCAGCTGTGTGACTTTGGGCAAGTCACACAGCCTCTCTGAGCATCATTTTCTCTTGTAATCTTGCCATAACCAAAGTATGTAATATTCCTGGTTGTCAGTGTAAATGGGATAATGCAAGTAAAGAGCCTTGTGTGACAAAGCAGGCCCCAGGACATTTTGCGGACAGTGGCGGTTATACAGGCACCCCGTTTGTGTTTTATTGATTTTATTGAACTATGCCTGGCTGCTATAAGGGTTCGGAGGACATGGTGGTGGTGGATGCTTGGGGGTGGGGGTGGATTTAAAGAACACTTTTTATTATTCAGTTGGTTCCGATTATTGTGATAAACATTGGTGAGGGATTGTATACACCCAAAAACAAGTGAATAGATACAGAGTCCTTGGAATCATGCCGTCTCCATGCAGTTCTACTTTGAACCTGGTATCAACTTAGTCTGTGCAACCGCAGCTAAGCCTGTTTATGCCTGCTGTCTCTCCCCCTCCCTCTATCTCTCTGTATCTGTCTGTCTGTCTGTCTGTCTGTCTCTCTCTCTCTCTCACACACACACACACACACACACCCTCAATTTTCTGGGCCAACTCTGAGCTAGAAGACAAGCAGACAGTAGCTACACTGGGATGTTCTGTGTGAGCCCTACCACGTGAGGAAACCGAAGGGTTTTGTTGTTGTTGCTATTGTTGTCTGTTTGTTTTCAGAGTAGCAATAAGGATATACTAGCAGCTGCAGTAACTGAAGAATGACAGTTAAGAATCAGTCCACATGGGGGGAATAACCCCAGCTCCGGCACATACAAGTGGTTTGTTTCTCTCTGTCTTGTTCACGTGAGCAACAAAAGCAGAAAGCTTCATCCCCCCTTCTCCCTCACCAGCCTCTCAGCACAGAGGAGGAGCTCAGGAGGGGAATGGATGAAGGCATCCTCCAAAGCCACTGTTCGGTTTTCTCTTACTTTGGGTCCTTCAGGATAATGTAATTGGTGTGCTTCCCCCAGAAACCGGTGTCTGCACCAGATGTAAATGCACCAGGTCAGACCCTCACACACGGCTGGGGAGAGCCAGCTGCCAGCAGCTTCCTTGGCCAGCTCGGACGGGGAATCCTCACTCCAACCTGATTGGCCTTCTCCAAGCCCAGCCATATAATCGAATCCTTGTAACAAATGGATGTTCCCCTTGGTTCTGGCCAAGGCTGCTAGCTTAGCATGGTGGGTGTAAGTGGGAGGTTGTGACCAGTGCAGAGGATGGAGCAGACTCACTTAAAATAACTCCTATTCCGTCTCCATCTGCCACTGAGATTGTTTCTGCCCCTGCAGGCAGAGGAAAGAAGTGGGTTTCCTGAAGCACAATACCAATATTTTTCTTATTTGTCTAATAAAATTTTCCCCCCCAGACTTAATATTTGGCTTGATTTTATCCAGTATTTTCTTTCATCTTGTATGATTTGGGTGTGAATCATGAAGTGTCTCCAAAAACAGCTCAGATGTAGGAGCCTTACTCAGCAGACTGGCTTTGGTTTAATTGGCAAAGCTACTCAAGTAAGACTTTTCTGTTGATAAGTGGGCTCTCTGTAGTCTTTGTCCAAGTGTTTCTCAGCCACCCTGTCCTTGCCACCTGCTTGTGACTTCTGGTAGACTAACCGATGTTGATTCAACAAACATTTATCCGGCTCCTGGTGTGCTGGGTCCCGTGTGTTAGACTGGGGGCTGATGGAGCTATCTTACATGGGCTGGGGGCCATATCACGGGTGGGGAATAGGACAATAGCACAGCAAGAAAGATTCAAGTCAGACCTTGAGGAACACTTTTTGAGTAGTTATTAAACATCTGGAAGTTTTTTCTTGTTCTCTGCCCCTCTTTAACATTCAGGTTAAAACTATTTCAAAGCAGTTACTTAGAGTTACTGTTTAAATTGATTCCTCTTGCACTTCATGCTTCCCATGTCTCTGAGAGCTTTATGAATTTTTCTTAAAATGTGGAGCCCCTAATATCTCTTTTTCTTTTGCCCTACAGAGCATTGAGGGCGATAAGACTAGGAAGGGACCACCTTTGCCATGATCTTATTTTCTTTGAGATTTTGGTAATCCGTGTGCCCCTCGGTTTTAGAAGAAAGGGACATCTGAGCTGATTGCCTTTCCCAAGGAGGCCTGGACTGTGGGCCTAGTCAAACCACCAAGAGGACACAAAGAAGGCTCCCTCCCAGCGGCCACAGCACAGGCAGGCCTCCGCAGAGGAGCCTGGGGCAGGCAAAATCTAGGACTCACGCCCGCGAAGCCCGCGTTGACATTGCCAAAAGCTGTTTGCACTGTATCTTCAAGCCCAGAAGATGAGGAAGGATGCTGAAGGGTTTCTATGCTGGATGAAAATTAGCCAGTCACATGGGCCACTGGGTGTAGTGGTGGATGAGATGGAAGCTGGGAACGATGGAGAGAAATCTTCATTCCTTCCCTCAACGTTTGTCAGATGGCCACCATGTTCTAGGGCTGAGCAA